GCAACCAAACATGCCTCCTTCCATTTTCTCTCATGTACTAAAATTTTCCTTGTCGCTAGGCCTTTGCCCATAATGCCTTCTACTTGGAACATTAGGCCCCATAGTCCTGCTTTTCCTCTGCAACACTTACTGCAGTTTATAACTGTGTATTTATTCCTATGAGTATTTATCACATTAGCTACCCCACTAGGCTGTAGACTCATTGAAAGCAAAAAGGATATTTGTTTTGATGGTTACTATGTATTCAGAATTTAGCACAGTGCTAGATAATCAGTAAATTCCAAGAATAATCTTGATTGACTTGAGAAATATCTAGAAAATTAGGCAAGCATGTTCCTGCATGTCTGGGTGAATTATGGTGGGCATGACCTTGGGGGCTATATCTGGTCTCTGGCCTTTTCCAACCTGATCTGCCATGAGGTGAGCAGATTTCCTCTGCCTTGTTGTTTCTGCCTCTGAGCCAGCCAACCATGGACCTCTGAAATTACAAACCAAAATAGACCCTTTCTCCTTTCAGTTGTATATGTCAGGTATTTTCTCCTAGCAATAGAAAGCTAATACAGTAAATATATGTGAAGGAATGTATAGACTTCAAATCATGCAGGTAAGGATTGCTTCATTGTAGCTGGGTGTGGTGGAACATGACTACAATTCTAGCACTTTAGGAGGCCGAGGCAGGAGGATCACAAGTTTGAGTGCAGGCTGGGCAACATAACAACTTAGTGAGACCGTGTCTTAAAATTTTAAAAAAAGATTATCATAAAGCCCCTGGGTTCAATTCCCAGTACCACCATATTTTTAAAAAGAATTAAGAAAGGAAAAAGAAAAAATTTGCTTAATTGCACAGTCTCTTGTAATCTGATAGTACATATTCCCCACCTGGAGGCAGGTAGCATGATGGTTGCTTTCTTGATAACACCGTCCATTTGGCAAAGGATGACGTCAAATGTGTGATCATCTGTTATCACCCATTCGTGAATGCCATCCATTGTACCATCAATAGTAAGTTTCAAGCCAGGCACATACCTGTAATCCCAGTACTCAGGAGGCTGAGGCAGGAGGATCACTGTGAATCTGAGGCCAGCCTGGGCTACATAGTGAGTTCCAGGCCAGCCAAAACTACATGGCAAAACCCTGTCTTGAAAAAAATAAAGTTTCTTTTTAAGTCATTTTATCTTGTTCTGTTACTGCTGTTTAACAACTTTTTCTTTTTTTCTGTGTTCTTTCTCTGTGTTCCCTTTCTTTTGTCCTACAAACTAACATTTAAGCTTTAAGCTTTGGCTTTAACAGACTATTGTCTGTGTTTTACAGGAGTGCAGAACAAGAGGATGCCCTCTTGTTCAATTCCCAGCACCTCAAAAAGAAAAAGCGGGGAGGGAGAGACACCAAAAGCATTACTTTTTGGTGATGTTCTGGAAAATACTGTGCTGTAAATACAGAGGTTAACTGTCTTCTCTACCCCCGCCACTCCAAACCAAATAGAAATTAAAGATATAGAAAGTGTTTTTTAGTCTGTGCCAGAGTTTTTAACTTGGTTGATATCCTGAAATGTATGCTTATTTTATTCTTTAATTGGCTTTTATGTACATGTTCATGTTCTGGAAAAAAGAAATCTATGTTTTTATTAGCTCCTCTGAGAAGTCAGAGATTAAAAAAAAAAAAAAAAAAGTGCCCTGGGCCTTGTGTTCTGCTTTATTTTTCCTTATGAGACCAAATCGGCAAGGTTGATTGTGTCCTTCATGTAAACCACTTGATGTTATGACTTCAGGATGCATCTTGAAACTTGTTTTCAAGAGAACTTTGTAAACAAGCCCTTAGTTCAACAGACATTTTGATCTACATGAACAACAAATGCACTGTAAAATTTCCTGTTTGAAAAAAGAGCCATCTGAGATCATTATGCAATGCCCTGGGGTATTCACATTTTAATTATTCTTATTAATATCATTAATATTTATTACTCATTACTTATCTGAAAGCCCTGAATGTGTCTCATCGTAGCTTTGGGGACAGTGTCCACAATATAATCTCAGAAGCCACCACCACACATTTTTTAAAACTCCAAACCTGATTAATAATAAGCCTTGGATTTAGGGTCTAAAAAATAATTCAATAGATGTGAAGAAGAAATTGAAATAGCATTATTCAACAAGACTTTAGCATATGCGTACTTATGTCTATATATAGATGTCAGGATACATGTTTATTACAGTGTTTTGGGTTATTTGTAATCTCATCTTTTAAAATTCTTGGCTACAAAAAAAGAAAAAGAAAAGTAGATCTCCATTAACCAGAATCTCTTTTCTTTTTCTTTTCTTGCCAGAAAGATTTTAGGATTCTTCTTTCCTTCCTCCCTCCTGCTCTCCCTCCCTCCCTCCCTCCCTTCCTTCTTTCCTTGTTCGGCCTCTGCTCAGTGTGAATTTACAAGCCTTAGAACCTGAGTGAACCAAACTGCTAACAGATCACCCAAGCAGAACTCCCAATGTAGTGTTTCTTTCTAGTTAGGCCCATTGAACCCAAAACGCTTTCACTTAGTGATTGTTTTTCCCCTTTACAATGGTTAAGTAAGACAATTCAATTCCACAAGAAAAAAAAAAAAAAAAGGATGTCCAGATTTGGGGAATTGCTTATCTTTTTTCTTCTTAAACCCCTTGACACTCTGGGGAGCATAATGGCCCCTCCTCCTGCTCACCCTCACAAATGCAAATACACTTTCCAAGGTATGTGCTTTCTAGCAAAGCCCTCTAAACTGCCAGTCCAAAACATCACATAAAGAAAAGAATTGGTTTGGTTTTCACATGATGGATCTCCTCAATCTGAGCACACAGGAGGATCGCAGACTCACAAAGGGTCCCAGGTGAGAATTCCTGACAATTCCTGCCGTTGGCTTAGCAATGCAGTTTGGTGAAGTCCGTGACCCTGGGTTTGCTTTCCTTCTTGAAGCTGCCTGCACTCAAAGAGGAGTTTAATCCTTCAGGCCCCTTCACCCCACTCCTGAATCCAGAATTCAGTTTCCTCCAAGAATCATAGGTTTTCCTGAAGAACAGCTAGGAGGCATGGAGGTACAGTCACAGACTTTTACGAAGATGGAACCCCTGAAAGCCGGTGAGGACTGGAAGGAGGGAGCCTAGATCATAGGGCCTTCGCTGGCTGTGGGCCAGCGTCCAGCTGTCCTTGGCCTCCTGGGCAGTTCAAGGCAAGCACCAGGGGAAATGAAAGTAAAACATGACCTGGCAGGGACCCAGCTGGAAGCTAGAGACAGGTAGATTGTATCCTCAGAAACTCACAGCCTGTCCTGGACAGGATCCATGGGAAGACAATTGTGGGATGAAGTGAAAGGAAGAGATGGAAAGCAGGAGAGGAGCGAGCAAGAAAACAATAGGCTGGGGAAGCTTCTGAACTAGCCGGCTCATGGTAATACCTGCTGTCTGTGGTGCAGACAGACAAGCCGCCTGACCGGGACCACTGCGGGGGCTGTCGTGCAGCCAGCCAGGTGGCTGGAAGTTGGCCAGTTCTCCAGGTTGCATCTCAGTGACTCTCTGCACATCCCAAGTCCTCACCAGAGAAACAATCACAGATCTGTCCCCCTGCCCTCAGTTGGATTGCAAGTCTACTCAGCCACTGGACTGGATGGGGGTGCTACAGAGGACGTGACCGTGAGCGAGTAAACTAAGGAGTGAAACCTAAAGGCCAATTTTGTCAGTAGCCTCTCAGTCTAGTCACTGGGCTCCAGGAAATTTGAGTGAAGTACCAGGTGACAGAACTCGAGAGATCTTCATATAAGGGAGCACCCTAAGGCTGAACCTGCTCTCCTGTTTGGCCTTCTAAGGGAACTAAGAAATAAAAAAAATGTCAAGTTGATGTGAGGGACAAGCACAAACAGTGACAAACGTGTTTAAACTGATTCATCATGAACAGGCACATTTTTTGGTTGAGGGCTGGAACTCTCCTCTCATCCTCCAGGAGATGGTGACCCCAGCCTAGAAGAATCCACGCCACCGCACCCCAATCCATGGTTGCTTAACAGGGCAGAATTAGGAATCGGTTGCTTCCTACCTTTAGTGTGACTCTGGGACAATAAAGTTCCACTCTTAGAGCTTCAGTTTTATACTTGGTGAAATGGGGAAAGTGCTATCACTTTCCTCACCTATCTCAGAGGTGAGTGCTAAGATCAAAGGACAGGGGAATGTGGTTGTGCTTTATAAACTGTGAAGCTATTAACATACGTGAAGCATTAGTGTGCTCTTGGCAGCCAGTCCTCACGTTTACAGTGGGTGAATGAAAGCAGCCAGGCAAACGCTCAGGTTATAACCTTATAAGGCATAATTGGATTACGGGGTGAAGGGAGAAAAAAAAAAACGGTATCTCTTGCTAATTTTAGATATTCCTGTATTTCCAAATAGGCTCATGAATCCTGAAACTTCAGTTAGCTACCCTCTCCAAATCCCAATTCTTATTATAGTGGTTTCGAGCTTTGCTCTTATTTCGAAATCAACACCGTGGGGCCGCTCTGGGGGGCTGGCGAGCTCCACTCTGCCTTGTACCCTTTGCCTAGGGCTCCGCAGGAGTCTGGGGTCGAGGATGGGTCAGCCGCTGAGCCGGCAGGGGGCGCGGTCCACTTGAAGCCGCAGCTCCCTTGCCTCGGGTCATCCGTGCGGTCCTCCCGACCCCTTTGACTCTTGCAGCGCTATGCTAGGAAACCCCCTACTCTGGATGTGTAAGTGCTGCAATAAGTCCCCCCAAAAGCTGTACTGGTTTCCTTTGCCTCTCTTACTGTCTGAACCACACGCCAGAATTAAGAAAATTAAGCCTCTGGCAGCTCCTGCACCAATCTCCTGGAGTTTATCTCTGAGCCCTGCAGGCACCAGAGACCCTCCAAACCCATACCCACAGGAAAGCAATGCGCGCGCCACTTGGAGGAGCACGCGCGCCCGAGGAAAGGGAGGGCTAGAGGGCAGCCCAAGCCCCGCCCCTCGCGCTCATATAAAGCGCAGGAACCAGAGCTGGCTGTTGAGTGGTGTCTTGGTGACACTAGGCAGAGCAACTCCAGCCTCGCCAATTCTGGCTTCTCACCGCAGTGAGTCTTGAACTTTGGGGTTTCTCCACTGTCAGGAAGACGTCTCGGACTTTCTCCTCCAAGTACTTGGCAGATCACCCATTCAGCAGGTAGGTGCCGCAGGCTCAGCTCGGGGTGGGGGCGCTTTTCCCGGAAACCCGGAGCTCTGGGTGAAGAGAACAGCTCACTTTGCGGGATCCTTTTTGGGGTACACTCTACATGCGGGCCCCAGCGTATGCATACAGATGGAGCGGAACAGATCCAGTCCCCTCTGCTCCACGGACCACGTCCCGAGGAGTTGAGCAGGAAACTCCCGGGGGCCTGACGCTGTGCAGCGACAGCCCTGGCGGGGCCTGTCACCCTCTGAGCCGGCGCAACGCCTGTGGCGCCTCTTTGCGCCCAGGGGAGATAAGCATGGAAGCCCAGCGGAGCGCAGGCAGAGCCAGCCCTCGCCGCTCTTCGCGCTCTGCCCCGGCGGTGCAGCTGGCCCGGTACTAATGCTCGGCTCCGCTCGACTTTTCCAGGATCTGTCTGCGAATCGCCAGAATGAAGCTGGTTTCGGTCGCCCTGTTGTTCCTGGGCGCTCTGGCCTTCCTGGGCGCTGACGCAGCGCCGCTCGACGGAGCGTCTGTGTTCCTAAAGAAGTGAGTCGGGGCAGCGCCTTCCCCAGTCCTGCTACCCGTCACACAAGGGGAAAACTGCCTTCTGGTCCCCAGGGGTTATAAGCTCCCGCTCCCAGTCTCTCCGACGCACGCTGATCGGGTCTGCTTGTATTTTTAAAGATGGACTAAATGGGCTGTAAGTCGTGAGAATAGAGAACTGCCAATGTCCAGCAGCAACACCACTGAGCTCGTAGACGCGAAGGCCGGCTCTGCCCAGACGAACCTTGGGTCCCAAGACTTAAAGAACGGCTCCGGCAGTCCCCAGCTAAGGTAGGTAACTGTGCCCCTTGCAGAAGGGATGCGGGGTCGTCGGGCTGGATCGCAACTTAGATAGTGGGAAGTTTCCAGCTCCCTCGGGTCCTAGAATGGCTCTCGCCCCTGGCGACTGGGGTTAAAGTCCTGCCTGATGGGGGGTCTCAAGTTGTCTTCTTTTCCCTCCCCAGTGGTTCGGAGGTCGTCCTCAACCGAGTCAAGCGCAACCAACGCGGCCTGCGCAGCTTTGCCTGCCGCTTCGGGACGTGCACGGTGCAGAAGCTGGCGCATCAGATCTACCAACTCACAGACAAGGACAAGGACGGCGTCGCCCCTCAAAGCAAAATCAGCCCCCAGGGCTACGGGCGCCGGCGGCGTCGTTCCCTGCCGGAAGCCGGACAGGACCGGACTCTGGTGTCTTATGAGCCGCGGGAGCTCGCGGCTCGCGACTCCAGGGTGCACTAACTGCTCGCCACCCTCCGGAGGATTTAGGCTTCTGGGCTTGGGCAGGGAACCAGGCTGACTGTCACTTCTGCAGGGACTCGACCAGAGGACCCACGGTCTGGTCGGAACCCTGGCTTCGCAGGACCCTTTCCCCTTCAGGGTAATGGCTTTGATCAGGGCCTGAGTCCCTCCTTCCTGGGGACGGGGATGGGGCGCAGGAGAATCGGAGGAGAAACTGAGGCTTTAATGCTGAGACCCTGGGGCGGGGGTCTGAGCCACTGCCTTGCCCGCCCACGAACCAATTTCTCACGGAGTGTCACCCTACCGGGGCGGGAGCCTCTATTATTACTTGAACTTTCCAAAACCTAGAGGAAAAGTGCAATGCGTGTTGTACGTACATAAAGAGGTAATTATCAATATTTAAGTTTCTTGCTGTCAAGATTATTTTGTAACTTCAAATATAGAGATATTTTTGTACGTTATATATTGCATTAAGGGCATTTTAGAGCAATTATGTCCCCCCCACCTATTTTAAAAACGTGAATGTCTCAGCGAGGTGTAATATTATATTGTTTGGGTTCGTGGAGTTCGTGTGTGCGCGCGAGCGTGTGTGTGTGTGTGTTTGTGTCCACAAAATAAAAGTGCACCTGATTACCGCCTGTGGAAGAAGGGAACACTGTGTGTATAATCTATTTACATAAAATGGGTGATATGCAAACTGCAAATAAACTGTCTCAATACTGATTCATTCTCGGCTCAAGCGTCCAGAGAAAGTTCTGGACCCGGCCTGTCCCGGATCCTACAGATCCCTTCTCCTGGCTCCGGAATGTAGGGTGGCGGTGCGGGTGTGAGCTGCCTTTGCCCTGTTCCTTGCGGGTTTAGTCGTCGCAAGCTCTGTTCTCCATGGGGGGGGCTTTCATACCCTGGGTGCTTGGTGCGAGTCAGGGCTTTGCGGAGACGCCCGATGTCCCTTCTTCGCCTGGCGACCAGGCGGGGCGGGGGAGGGTGAGCCCCAGTGGTGAGGCGAGCGTGCACACCCCGAGTTGCGCAACGGCGTCCCAGTTTTAGGGAGTTACTCGGGGAATCCTGCGCGACAGCGCGCGGCCGGCAATCGGGGTGGTCTTCCAGGCTAAGTGGAGGGGTTTTACTCTGCCAGCTTCGGGTTTTAAACTTTGAAGTTACCCCAGCAAAAATGTTTGGACTTGTTGGGAAACTCATCAGCCCGTAACCCCAGCCTCCCTGCTGGAGCGCCCACAAAACGAAGGGCTCATAGGCTAGGCGGTGGTCCCCCCCCCCCCCCCCAGCTGCTAGGCTGTACGTGCGGTTTAATAAATTCTCCTACGTGGGAGTCAGCACACAACCTTAATGAAAGAGGAAAGAAAAAAAAAACAAAACAGTTTTCAGATGCCAGCCAGCCTCCCCCCCACCTCGACCTGCGCGGCGGCTCGCTGTTCTGGGACAGTGACTCAGCGCCCACATACTGCGCAGCATGCAGCTGCTGGCCGGAGGCGGGCTGGACGGACGTGCTGCCGGAACCGTGTGCCTCCGACAGCCCGGGACCTTCATTGTTCCGCCTCCCCCTGCAGCTCTCCCCTTCCTTCCTCCTCCTCCTCAAGCCTTTTACGTTTTCACAGCACTTTTCTCTGGCCTTCCTTTCTCTCCCTCCTTCCTTCCTCCTCCTCACTTTGTGTCTTATCATTTTAGAAGGTTGCCCTGCGTTCCGCTGATAGATGCTGGATGCTAAGCCCCTCTGAAGGGCAGGGGCATGTGAACAATTAGGGAGTGTAGGGGAGGCACCCTTGATTTTGATTTTCCTGCCACATTTTGTCTCAGCCAGTATCTCGAAGACCCAAAGGGGAGGCACTTGCCGGTCCCTTCCATAAAGTTTCCCCATCCTTAGTGGGTCTTAACAACATTGTGAGTTCTGCCAGAAGTGAGGGGATTACAAGTGCGACCTCTGAGGCCCCCTAATCAACATTCACAAGGAGGGAACTATGCGGCAGGCACTGAAAAATACAGGGCTTTTATGAATGAGAGAATGACTAAAAGTCAAGGAATTTCTGTGCCAGGAGTAGACTCTGGCTGGGTAGAGGTCTGCAGGGGCTATGGTAGCTCCTGACCACAGCGAAGACTTCAGCCTTGCAAACAGTGGCTCAAGATTAAATACTTACCCTTTTCCCTGAGTCGAGGTTTGCCCCCTAGCCACAGAGTCCTTCGCCAAACCTCACGCTGGCAGAGCTTCAGCTACCAGACAAAGCTGCCAAAGGCAGGTTGGGCTCTAGCTTAGGGCTGCTGTGAGCAGGGAACAGGCATTTAGCCTTTTCTGCCCGGGAGTCTTATGACTTCAGGAAATCCCAAGCAAGTGAATCTGAAATGGTTCAGCTCTGAGAGGAAAGAGGCAGCTGCTCAGCTGGAGTCCTTCCCACTGCCAGTCCTGTGACCTTTCTGAGGAGACAGAGAGCCCCCTGTGACCAGTCCAGTACTGTTTAGGATTAACTGAAGGTCACCATCGAATCCTGGGGCCTTCTCTGTAAGCTATTCAATCAACCTGCTGGATTTTTTTTTTTTTTTTTTTTTTTTTTTTTTTTTTTTTTTTTTTTTTTTTTTTTTTTTTTTTTTGGTAAGATGCTGAAGTTTAGCAGGATAGGGCCTCTCAAAGCCAAGAACACATCATTTATCAACAATGATGAGTCATTTGTGAGTTGATTGGACCTGTCCACAGCTGAGAAGTAGTCACAGCTTTTATCTGCAGCTACTGTTGCTGGCTCTGGGAATAGTACCATCCATTTGTAACCAAGTGTACCAGGCAATTTCTTGAAAAGACATCACGTCGCCTAAACAACTAAGGGTGCAAGGAGAGAGATGAGAAAGAATGGAAACTGATTCTTTTTTTAGCACTTGCTTGGTGTCATTCTCCTAGCCACTTTCTATACCTTATCTCATCTAGTTCTTACAGCAGCCTTGTGAAGTAGGTGCTATTATCTGTCTTTGTAGATAAGGAAAGTGAACCTCAGAGACATAAAGAAATTTAACCAAGTTCACACAGTGAGTAGTAAGTGATGGAGGCTGGAATCGCACCCAATTGCTACAGGCGGGTTTGATGCCATGAAGTCATAAGGAGTAAATTGGGAGAATTTTAATGTTTAGTTTCTTACACCAGTTGTCCCCAGTTGTCCTCTGCTGCAGGCAGGGATGGTCTGGGTAGGTGATTTACACCTACTGTGGTTCTGAAAGATTTACATGAGGGCTGGTAAGACTGGAAAGGAAAGTTGCTTCAGCAGTGAGTTCAATGTGAGCAAAATAAATAAATGAAGTGAGTTTTAAATTCTTGGTCTTGGTTTGCAGCAGGGATTATAAATCAGGAATAGCCTTTACCCCCCCAGAGCTAAGCTGCTGACCTCTTTGGTTTGCATTGCCAAATATAGTTAGAACATACACCGTGGGCCTCCAGAGCTGGCTTCTGAGGCGAAGGCCTCCTGTGCTATTCCTGAACACTGAACACCATCCCTCACTGTAGGTCTTAAGTTACCTAGAAGAACACCTGTGTCTACAAAGCTGCAAATAGAGTTTCCATCCTTGAGATGGGACCTTTTGTCTTGGCAACTGCTGCTCAAGACAGCTTTTCAGAGGATATTCTGAGCCGACTTTGAGAGTTCTTATTGCTACCCCTCCTTTCCTTCGCCCAGAAGGAGAGGCCTTGTTGCCCAGCATCCCACAGAGGTTTCTGCCAAAGCTGGGTTGGAGGCTTGGTCTTCATTTGCATTGGAAGAAGGGTGAGGCTAGATAGCTATCTGGTGGTCCCATTGGTCTTGTTCCAGAGCTATTTTGGAACATTCTGGAAAAACAATAAAATAACTCTGACCACACAGGCGGCTGGTTTTAGTAAGTTATTGTACATTTATCCAACAGTGGGAAAGGAGTTCTGAGTAGTAAGATGAATTTTTTAAAACATAAAAAAATCACATGTTACTTATGCAGTATATTTTCAGAGTAGAAAAAAGTTCACCTTTCATACCATCCCCAGAGATAATTACCATTAATATTTTAATACGTTTACTTTTAGATACTTTAATATATTGTACCCATACTTTAAAAAATGAGACAGGTGGAGACAGCTGAATTAAACACTCTTCGATTTAAGTCACCTTGTAATTACCTTTCTGTTCAAAGCTTCTTTCCTGTTTAACAGTCTTATTTTTTCCTCCCTTAATTTTTATACCTCCTCCTGTCTCAGCCATAGGAACTCTCCTTAATATGTATGATAGTTGTACTTATAATGTATTATCTTTTAAAATCCATTGTATTCTCTCACAATAGCTCATGTTCTTTCTTTTCTATTTTTTCCTTCCTTCCTTCCTTCCTTCCTTCCTTCCTTCCTTCTTTTGTACTGGGGATTGAGCCTGAAGCTTTCACGCTGAGCTACATCCCCAGCCATTTTTACTTTTTTTCTAGTACTGGGGATTGAATTCAGGACCTTGCGCTTGTTAGGCAGGTGTGGTGCTACTGAGCTATATCCTGGCCCCTTACAACTTCATGTTTTTAACACACATCTATTGTTTAAGATTTTTGTTGTTTCCTAATTTCCTCATTCATTCCCAAAATATTCTACCCACACTTTACTTTTCTTGTTTTAATGAGAGATGTGTAGATCTCTGCCACAAGCAATATGTAGATAAACATTCAATTTCATGACCTCTTACGGACTGTATTGAGAGTTTCTTGGTGATATACACCCATAAATTTCATCAGTTAGCCAAAAGACTTCCACATATATTCGATGCTAAATTATGTGAGATTGCCTTTTAGAATGCCTGTACCAGTTTGTATTCCCATGAGCCGTACATCAGAGTCTGCATATCTCTATATCCTTGCCCATCTTGGCATATGTGATGGTTAATTTTGTGTGTCAACTTGACTGAGCTAAGAGATATGCACATAGCTGATAAAGCATTGTTTCTGGGTGTGTCTTTGCCAATGTTTACCGAGAAGATTAGTATTTGAATCAGCAGACTTGCTGTAAAGAAGACCAGCCCTCTCCCACATGGGCAGGCATCATCCAGTCTGTTGGGAGCTGGAGTAGAACAAAAAGGTGAATTCCCTCTCTCTTCTTGAGCTGGGCATCTGTCTTTTCCTTCTCACAGACATTGGACTTCCTGGTCCTTGGACCTTTAAACTCCAAGACTTACATCAGCAGCACCTGTCTCCACCCTTTCAGTCTGGGTGTTACACCCTCAGCTTCCTCTCAGGTCTTTGTATTCAGACTGAATTATACCTCTCGCTTTCCTGGTTCTCCTGCTTGCAGACAGCATACTTTTTCTTAAGAATTCTCTGCCTCTGTAATTGTGTGAGCCAATTCTTATATTAAATTCCTTCCCCCCACATACGTTCTATTTCTCTGGAGAACCCTGAAAATATATCACGGTTTCCTCTTTTCTGATGCTTGCAACGTAGATCAGTATTAAAATATAACACTTTAGGGTTTGGGATGTAGCTCAGGGGTACAGTACTTGCTTGCCATGCACAAGACCCTGGGTTCAAGCCTCAGCACCACACACACAACATTATCTGAAATTATTTTCTACTAGAGATGAAATTTAAAGGATATAAAAAGAAAAATGAAACTTGGCATTACAATAAATAAATACATAATATTATTTAAATTTCCATGACTAATTACTAGTGAATTTTGGCACATCTTCGTTTATTTATTGGTTACGTGAATTAT